CTGGCATCTGGCATAACACCCCCTGAAATGCTGGCGTAGCAGGACGAGCACCATCAAGGGTGTCTGGCCCAGGCTCTGACCTATACTAACGTCCCCACGCTAGTATAAGGGCCCACGAAAGTGGCCTCAGTGGACCACTTTCGAGGGAGGGCAGAGCAGGTGATCTCTGACCATCTGGCCAGCTCTGACTTTTATGCTCTGTGTGACTCTGAGTTAGTCATTTTTAAAAAGGAGACTGCGAACACTTGCAACTTCCCACAAGGGGAAGACCCGGGAGCTGTTCTTTCAGAACCACAGAACTCAACTCCCAGGATGAACTCCCGGCCTTGCCCAACCCATCACCCCCCCGCCCCCGTCCATCCTCCATCCACTCATCCTCCACCCACCTGCCATCCACCCACCCATCCATCCTCCTGGACATTTGGGAACTCTGCAAGGACCCCCCTTTCCCTCCATCACACCCCCATTCCCCAGGCCCTCACTGCCACTGGCCAGGCTGGTAAAGGGGTGTGGGGAGTCCCTGGGCCATGCTGTCAGCCAGGGTTCAGGAGTGGGCGATCCGGGGTCTTTGGGCTGAGGGTAGGATTTGGTCACATAACTTGAGCTCCTGGGGCAAGGGGGACTCCAGGGGGCTGTCAGGGCCCAATGTTTACAGAGCATGAGCAGTCGCCTCAAGGGTGGATGTTGAGTCCCTGTGTCTAAGTGTGTGCCTGTGACTGGGGCGAGGCAGGTGGAGGGTCTGCACTGTGGGTGGAAGCCTCTGACTCACTCTTTCTAAGACGAGTGTGTCACATGCAGGAGGGTGGCCCTGCAAGCATATGACACATGCGTCATTGCATGTGAACACACAGATGAGACACAGGGTCAGGGCTCAGAGTGGGACCAGGGTCGGGGCTCAGAGTGTGACCAGGCTCAGTGCTCAGAATGTGACCACGGTCAGGGATCAGAGTGTGACCAGGGTCAGGGCTCAGAGTGTGACCAGGGTCAGGGCTCAGTGTGTGACCAGGGTCAGGGCTCAGAGTGTGACCAGGGTCAGGGCTCAGTGTGTGACCAGGATCAGGGCTCAGAGTGTGACCAGGGTCCGGGCTCAGTGTGTAACCAGGGTCAGGGCTCAGAGTGTGACCAGGATCAGGGATAAGTGTATGACCAAGATCAGGGCTCAGAGTGTGACCAGGGTCAGGGCTCAGTGTGTGACCAAGGTCAGGGCTCAGAATGTGGCCAGGGTCAGGGCTTAGTGTGTGACCAGGACCAAGGCTCTGTCTGAGTTTGGGATCTAGACTCCTTTGTGACCAGTACCAGGGTTCAGTTAAGGATCACAGCCATGGATCCAGAGATCACCATATCTCAGCTGAAGGTCACTGATGGCTCTCACTCTCCCACACAGCCCACTGCCCACAATCCTGCAGACATGTGAGCAGGACATCCAAGCTCACACAAACACAGGCCCACACCGGCACAGACCCAGTCCCTGGGCACACTGGTGGAAGCAGACCTGGAGCCCTGCCCTCAGACCTCGTTTCAGGTCCCCTGGGAAACCCTTGGCTCCTCTGAGCTCATTCATGGGTAAGCAGTGGTCCTGCCAGGTCACGGAAGGAGAAGCCATCCCACACAGAGCAGAGGCCCAGGGTGGGGGAGGGGCAGAGCCTCCCCCATGGGCCCCAGCTGCCCAGTCCTGGAAGATGCCTCAGTCCGCACTCCTGATCTCTCGGCTGACCACGGGCCTGTGGAGCCCCGGCTTCCTCAGTGTAACAGGCACAGCGCAGCCAGGCTCCCAGGGCCGTGCCCCAAACCCAACCGAGACCTTGTATGCACAACACTGTCCGGGGCAGGCCTGACACCCCCCCAGCTGTGGGCACCCTGCTGCTGTCCTCGGGGCCTGGGCCCTCAGGAGGAGAGACCTTAACAATGCCATCCATCCAGGGGGGCGGAGCACCCCTGGGGTGGCAGGCGGGGCCCCCCCACACCTGAGAGAGGAAGGGCAGATGGAGGTCGCGGTCAGTCTTCTCCCTAATCCCCTCTGCTCCCACCCACAAGCAGGCAGACTCCAGCCACAAGGACGGGAAGCCGAGGCCCCCAGCGGGCACGATCTGCCCCAGGCCACACAACCACTCGGTCCTCCTCGACCACAGGAGGGTCCAAGGGACACTGAACCTGACACACACTGGGCTGGCAAGACCTCTCACAGCCTCCTGGCCCAGGAGGGCCAAGGGGATGGCTCCCACTTTTCTGGAAAACAATTTACTACCAAGAGCTTAAAACTGTCCAAGGACGCGATGCGGAGGAAATACTGGGAGACGTGCGCAAGGCCGTCCAGTCAGGCTGGGGTTTCCTAGCAGGAAGCGCATGGCTCCTCCAGTAGGGCCGGCTGGCAGAACCCGGTGCCCAGGGAGCTGCAGGAACAGCCCGGGGAAGGGTCTGTGGGCTGCGGGGACGGGCTTGTGCTGACATCAGGGCCCCGAGAGGATGGACCTGCAGCCGCAGCGCCAGCTCCACCCCTGAAAACGCAAAGCTCTGACATGTCCGGCGATGCCCGCTGGCCGCAGGGGCCGGCCTGGGTACTGCTAGCATGTGGGCTTTCTTTCTTGCTTTTTCCTTTTTCATCCTTTTCTGACACTCCATTTCATACACAGAGCTTGTGCTGCTTGCAAAACTCAGAGAAAAGCTGTCGACAGCAACCAAAGCCAGGGGGCCGGTTTCCCAGGGCCGCGGGGTCCGCCCCAGCTCTCCCCCAGCCCAGCCCAGCCCCCCGCCCCAGACCCTGTCCTCATGTCCCCAGACCAAGAGGAGGAAAGGCAGAGAGTCTGCCATACGGCCTGCGCACTCCCACCATAGGGCCTTTGCACTTCTGTTTCTTCTGCCAAGATGTTTGTCCCCAGACACCCACGTGCACAGTGCTGTGTCAGGCCTCTGCTCAACATCACCTCCTCAGAGAGGCCTCCGTGAACCTGCTCTGAAAGGCACCTCACCCCACCTGCCACCAGATCCATCTGCCTCCACTTCTTGGCCTGTGGCGTGACCTGACATTTTCACCCGGGTCTGTACATTCCTGCTTCACTGTCCCTCCTCACTGGAGATGGGCGGAGGCTGAGGGCCAGGACTTCCTAGACCAGTGCCTCGTTGGTGGTCAGTAATCACTGGAGGATGGGCAGGTGGGTGGATGGATAGTGGAGAGATGGATGACGGATGAATGTGTGGATGGATTGATGGGGGATGCATGGATGGGGGATGGATGGGGATGAGGGGATGGATGGATAGGGGATGGATGGATGGCGGATGGATAGTGGATGGACGGATGATGGATGAATGTGTGGATGGATGGATGGGGGATGGATGGATGGGGCATGCATGGGGGGATGAGGGGATGGATGGATGCGGGATGGATGGATGGGGCACAGATGGATGGGGGATGCATGGATAGGGGGATGGATGGGGGATGGATGGATGATGGATGAATGTGTGGATGGATGGATGGGGGATGCATGGGGGGTTGAGGGGATGGATGGGTGGATGGATGGGGGATGGATGGCAGATGAGGGGATGGATGGATCTGGGATGGATGGATGGGGCATGGATGGATGGGGGATGCATGGATGGGGGGATGGGGGGATGAGGGGATGGATGGGGGGATGAGGGGATGGATGGATGAGGGATGCATGGGGGGATGAGGAGATGGATGGATGGGTGGATGGATGGATGGGGGATGGATGAGGGGAAGGGATGGGTGGGTGGATGACGATCCCATTCCTCCAACAACTTCCATGGTTCCTAACACAAAGCCCCCACAAACTGGCCCCACGCCCCTTGCAGACTTCCCTCTGTACCTATGCTGCCTGCTCTCCGGCCACCTGCTCTTCCTGGCCACGCCTCACATTCCTCCTGTATCTTCCAAGCTCCATGCTTTTGCTCAAGCTGTGCTTCTGCCTGAAACCCCTTCCTCCCCTTCTCTGCCAGGCAAACTTGCCCCACTCCAGTGACAGCCACTCCAGAACCCTTCCCTGACCTCCCAGGACACACACCCGTCACTGCAATGCCCAGAGCACAAGGGACTTGCTGATGTACCCCCAGGCCCGGGGCCCAGGCTGAGCACACTCACACTGCCAGCCGGCCTGGGGAAGGGTGCAGGGAGGCCGGGGGGCTGGCGGTGCCAGGGCTGAGAGAGGCAGGCGGTGACAATGACACCCAGCTCCCTGATCGCACCCTCCCCAACGCACACCAAACCCCCTGGGGGAAGGCCCAGCCCCCACCAGACCCACCTGGCACATGAGGATCCAGCCAGCAAGCTCCCCTCCCCCCACCCCGTCTCCCAAAATTCTGACCCTCTTCGCCTCTGGGGGCCACTCCCACTTTGGGGCCTTTGCGCAAACTCTCCCTTGTGACTCAACGAGGCCCCCGCCCCTCCCCCTTTGTCTCACTGCGTCTGGGAGGACACCCTACTTTGGGTGCCCAGGCAGGGCCCAGAGATCCCACATCACAGCCCAGCCAATCCAGCCCAACCCCTGCGGGGCGTGGCCCAGACACTCCACCTGCTCCCGAGGCGAGGCACTGCAGCGCCGACGCGGGCTGGCCCCCGTAAGTGCTAGACAAGGAGCTGGCAGTGACCCCCGAGCCTTCGCTTCCCATCTGATCACTCTGGGTCCCCAATCCCACCCAAGTGGCCCCGTCTGCCACGGCTCCCCCAGCTCCTGCAAACCTAGACTTCAGAAGCCCGCCTGCTCCGGGTGGGTGGGGCAGGCCAGGGGCGTCCCAGCCCATCACCTGGCCCAGGGTTTCACCTCCGTGCCCCTCTCCTTCCTGGATTGTGGACTTCCCTGGGAAGGGCGGGGGGTGGGCTGGGTAGCTCCATGCTGCCTCAGAGCCAGACCTGGGCAGGGAGGGACCGTGCGAGACACAGATGGATTGGGGGCGGCGGCCCCAAACCTGAAACCTGCACCCCTCCCTGCTGGGCCAGCCTCCCCACAAGCCCACCCCAGAGGCCCCGAGGCCATGAGGCCCAGATGGACTTACACGTCCGACTCGTCCCACAGGATACAGGTCTGGTTGGTGGTGCCCTGGGAGAGACAGGGGAGGAGTGAGGGCCACCTGCCGCTCTACGAGCCCCCCCGAGGATCACTGCCAGGGTCTACCCACACGTGTGCTAGGTGCACAGGAAAGGAAAAAACTGAGGCCCAGATGGGAAAGGGACCAGCCCAGCCCCCTACACCCCGCTGTATGGCCTTGGGCAGCTCCCGGCCCCTCTCTGAGCAGGGCTGGGCAGTGGCGGCCAAGGCCCATCTCTGGATGTCCAGGTGGCCGGTCCAGCTTAATGCAAACAGGGTAACAGGGAGCAGGGGTCAGGAGAGCACAGCAGGGCCTCAGCCTGTCCTGAGGCTGCAGTGTGAGGGCACTGGGACCACAGGAGTGATAGCAGCAGGGGTTCCTCAGCACTCACGAGGGGCAGCTGCTCTATGCATGGGGAAATTACTCTACAGTTCCCACTTGATGAGCCAATGCACAGAGAGGTTGAACAACTTGTCCAAAGCCACACAGCTGTAAAGAGCAGAGCCGGTTCTTCCCACAGCCCCGGCCTGGGGTTCGAGGCCCTGCCCTGGCTGGGTAACTCGGGCAGCTGGCACCCTTGGGCTCCTGGCTCTCAGCAGGTCCAAAGGGTGTCTCAGCCCCAGCTCCTCTGAGGCCCAGCAGAGAGCCCCCAGGATCAGGGCACAGAGGGGCCGTGAGGCCCAGGGCAAACTGCTTTCTCAGAAAGGGATGGCTCTCTCTTCCCCAAGGGAGCAACAGGCCCCCTCAGGGGACCAGGCGTCGGGGGGAGTGGCCAGGGCTCAGGCAGTGGTGTCAGACGTGGTTGAGTTTTGGCTCCCACACGGCCGGCCCCACTGTGTGACCCTGGGCAAGTCACCACACCTCTCTGAGCCTCAGTTTCCCCACCCACCACTCGGGGGTAAAAGCAGCTCTCTCGCAAGGCTGATGTGAGACCCAAGAGGTGTGGGCACATACACTCCACACGCGGGACCAGACAGGAAGAACCAGGCACACGCACACACACACGCACACACGGAGAGCACTCACGTTGTACATGTGGGCAAACTCGATCTCCAGGGGTGTGAGCAGGGAGCGAGGCGGGGGCTTCACAGTCACCGAGATGACCTTGGAGTTCAGGACGGTCGTGTTCCTGGGGGAGAGCCAGCAGGCCGCGTCAGGGGGTCCGGGGAGCCGCCCCCTACGTGCTGCCCCGACCCCTCCCCTGGGCCCGAGGAGGCCCGCACCCCTTGGCGCCCTCCACGTTCAGACCCCACACCCCCCGAGCCCCGCAGCCCCACCTCTGCAGCGCCAGGAAGCTGCCCAGGTTCCGGTAGAGCACGGTGCCCACCACAAACACGGACGAGTCGTCGGCCTCTGGAAGAGAGCCAGGCCACCACGTCACCCTCCCCCAACCCGCTCCCACTCAGGCTGGGGGAGGGCAGGAGGGCGGGCGAGGGAAGAGCAGGTCCCCAGAGGAGGCCTGTGGCCACGTCCACCCCCACCCTGGACACAGTGAGCTGGGGACAGGCAGGACGGGCTTCTCTTCTGGGGACCAGAGTCGCCAGCTGTGTGACTCCAGGCGAGGCCCTTCCCCTCCCTGCTATGAGGAGGCCCCTTCAGCAAAGATCATCTGGGAGCCTCCCAACACTGGGAGGGCAGGGAGGGCTTCCTGCTGGAGGGGGCAAACTCGGGAACAATGAAAAGAAACAGGTACTGCCCTGGCCCTGGAGGCAGCAGGCCAGACTCTAGAAGGAACCTCCCAGGGGGATGGGCCCTCAGACCCTGGGACCCCTCACCTGCCAGCCCTGTGGAGAAGACGCTCTTGGACACAGTGACCCTGTCCTCCGGCACCTTGGCCCAGTCGCCTGTGGCCCGCCAGCCCTTCATGGGGAAGCTGATGTCTGTGGCTCTGCTGGCAGGGAGCTTGTGGATGCTGAGAACTGGGGGGCGGGGGGCAAGAGACGGACAGACAGACAGAGGGACAGAGTGGTCACCCGACAAGGAGCCTTGGCCTGCGGACCTGGGAAGCAGGTCTGGGAGTCCAGCTCCACCTGGCGGGGTTGCGCACGGCTCAGGGGGGGCACGGGGCCCGGGGAGCCACCTGGCCAGGCTGCTGCCTGCCATCAACCCCCCTGCGAGGCCTCGGGCCTGGGTGACTTCCCAGCCTCAACAGGAGACCCCTGGCCCCAAGCTGCAGACTGACCTCCTCCCCACCGCGCTCTGTCCCTACAGGCTCCCTGGGTCGACCGTGTCCCCAGAGCCCGGTGGAGTCTTGGATGGGGGACAGCGAGGGGGCAGCAGATGTGGGCTGGGGCTGGTCAGAGCCCCCAGAGCACCGGCCTGGTGCTGATGAGCCAAACCCAGAGGGGATTGGCTGGCCCCTTCTAGCCCTCAAAGGACCCTCCAGCCCCAGCAGGAGCCCCCCTGCCCCGTGAGGACCCAGGCCTGGACTCAGCCTCCGTGGCCCCAGAAGGTGTCAAATGTGAGTTCTATGGTCAGGTCTGTGGCCACGGAGGGATCCAGAGGGAACAGCGTCCACCTTGGCGCCCTCCCTTCTCCTGGGACACCGGAGCCCAGCTCCCCCTCCACCCGGGCTCCGTAAATGGCGACGGGGACAGATCCCACCACACATGGCTCGGCAACATTACAGGAGACAGCAGATCCCGCGACCTGCCCTCCCAACTCCCCCCTGAGGGAGCCTGGCTCTGTGGCCCGGCCGGCCTCCCAAGGGCCCTCAGCCCCAGCCAGGCCCCAGCTGGGCTACACCTAACGAGCCAGCCCCAGCCCCAGTCGGGCCCTGTGCGTCTGCCACCTAGGCAGCGTTCCCACCCCAGGCCCTGGGGCAAAGTGGCGACAGGTTGGGGAGGACAGGACGGGGCAGGGGTCATGGGGTCAGCGTGCTGGGAAGCAAGGTCAACAGCTGAGGAGAGGGCAGGGGTTGGGGCTGGGAGAGAAGCAGGGTCCTGGGACCCTGCGGGGCAGGGAACGCGGTCCCCGTGGGCAGAGCCATGGCCCACGGAAGTCAGGGGTTCAGAGACACGTGGTGCAGGGTGTGCAGGGGCAGCAGGAGCAGGCAACACCCCATGAGGGAGGGCGGGGACGAGAGCGGAGCGGCCGCTGGACTGACCTGGATGGACATGAGGGCTAGGGGGAGGCGAGGGGACGGGAGGACCTGGGTCCGATGGGGCGCTCAGAGAGAGCGCTCGGGAGAGGATAGCGGGACCGCGGTCAGAGTAGGACTGACAGGACCGGCGTGGGGGTCCCTGGGGGGACAAGGTCCTCAGAGGAGTCCAGGCGACTGAGGGGCCAGGGTGTGGGAATGGACGTGTGTGAATATCAACATCCCAAAGTCTACTCCGGGAGAGCGTGGAGAAAGTGACCCTGGGTGACAGGGAGAAGGAGCAGGAGGGGCCAGGAGGACCCAGGGTCCCAAGGCTGAGGAAGGACGATCAGCCCCCTCCCCAGAGAGGGCTGCAGGCCAGGAAGGAAAAGGAACACTAGGGGATGAGGTCGGGCCTGGGGAGTCCACTGGTACGGAACAGTGGGCCCCGATGGCACAGGGGAGGGGCCTCAGGAGAGGGGGGAGGAACAGGAGGGATGTGTGGGGTGTGGGGTGAATGGCGTGTGTGAGGTCTCTAAGATGAGTGGGGTGTATAGGTGTCAGGTGTGTGGGGTGTGGGGCATATGGTGTGTGTGGAGTATGTGGGGTGTGGGGTGTGTAGGGTGTGTGGGGGGTGTAGCATGTGTGGGGTGTGTAGCGTGTGTGAGGGGTGTGGGGTGTGTGGGGTGTGGGGTGTGTGGGGTGTGGGATGTGTGGTATGTGTGGTGTGTAGGGTGTGTGGGGTGTGTAGGTGTCAGGTGTGTGGGGTACGGGGCATATGGTGTGTGTGG